TCATGCCCTCATTGCTTTATTTGAATTGGTGTGTTAGGTTTGCATGGAGTCTCTCATTCAGTCATTCGACATGCTGAACCTGTCCTCTATTCTGTCCTCAGATCAGCCGTATTGAATACATACACTCCAAGAACTTCATCCACAGAGACGTCAAGCCCGACAACTTCCTTATGGGCCTGGGGAAGAAGGGCAACCTTGTTTACATCATTGACTTTGGCCTGGCCAAAAAGTACAGAGATGCTCGCACCCACCAGCACATCCCTTATCGCGAGAACAAAAACTTGACTGGCACTGCTCGCTACGCTTCCATCAACACCCACTTGGGAATAGGTACCCTGACTTATAATAATAATAATAATAATAATAATAATAATATAATAATGAAACCTCCTGTATTTTCAGACCTGACCTGTTATCACCCTAACATTTATGATTAAGCCACTACACCTGTTATAGTCTGGCCATCCTAATGACATACAGTGTTTATCGTCTGTGTTTTCTTTCACAGAGCAATCCAGACGAGATGACTTGGAGTCTCTTGGCTATGTGCTCATGTACTTCAACCTGGGCTCTCTGCCATGGCAGGGTCTGAAGGCTGCCACAAAGAGACAGAAGTATGAGCGAATCAGCGAGAAGAAAATGTCCACTCCTATTGAAGTCCTGTGTAAAGGATACCCATGTAAGCTTCTGTTTATACATATAAGGGTTTTTTTAAGTAGCCAATAGTCTTAAACTACATTACATCGCAGCCACAGACTATAAGCTACTTGCTAGTTGGAGGCAGGTGGAAGACGACAGCATTTGATTGGCAGTTCAAGTATAATGTTTTATTTTTTATTTTTCAAATAAATGCAGTCTTAGTGAGCATATGAGACTTATTTCATATGCCATGAAAAAAATCTTACCAACTCTAAACTTTTGAACAGTTGTGTAGATGACTTCAAATGTGACCAAACTGACTGAAAGCCACAAAACATACATTTAATTTCATTTGCCTTTTGTTCGTTTCCAGCTGAGTTTGCCACATACCTCAACTTTTGCCGCTCCCTTCGCTTTGACGACAAGCCAGACTATTCTTACCTGAGACAGCTCTTCAGGAACCTTTTCCACAGACAAGGCTTTTCATACGACTATGTGTTTGACTGGAATATGCTTAAATTTGTGAGTATCATATGAGTTGTCTTTGCATGCATGCCGTATTCCTTACATTTTTGTTGGTTTTTATGGTGGTCTTTTAAAGCCTTAAAGGATTAGTTCACTTCCAGAATAAAAATGTCCTGATAATTTACTCACCCCCATGTCATCCAAGATGTTCATGTCTTTCTTCAGTCGAAAAGAAATTAAGGTTTTTGAGGAAAACATTCCAGGATTTTTCTCCATATAATGGACTTCAATGGGGATCAAGGGGTTTCTCAAAAACCTTACTTTCTTTTTGACTGAAGACAGAACGACATGAACATCTTTGATGATGGGGGTGAGTAAATTATCAGGAATGTTTTATTCTGGAAAGGAACTAATCTTTTAATTCTTCATTTATAATGTGTTGTGCTTTTCAGGGTGCAAACAGAGCGGCAGAAGATCCGGAGAGAGAGCGGAGGGATCGAGACGAAAGATTGCGACATGGACGGAATCCTGCTGCCCGTGGCGTGATGCCTTCCAGCTCAGGTAGACCCAGAGGAACACAAGAAGTAGCACCTCCCACACCCCTCACGCCAACCTCACACACAGGTAAGACATCCACTGCTGCCTGTTGGTGCTTGTTTTTAACTCAAGTAAAATCAGACATGTTTATGATGCAAACATCTGAGGATCTTTTTTGTTCGTACATAAGGATTATTTTGATTTGCAAGATACACAAGGGTTTTCTTTCTCTTCAGTGCTTCGGATCAAGACAGATTTGTATTCATGAGCTATTTTTTTTTTCTGCCATTTGTTGACGTCTTAGCTGACAGGAAGTGGTTAAAGGGTTGCAAGCTACTATGCTCGGCAGGATGTTTGCTAGACTTGACTTAAATTTACTAGCTTTTGCTTTATCGAAGGGTGGAGGTTCTCACACACACATTTCTACAAGAAAGACATTTAAACAGTGACCCTGCACTGCTCTTGTTACCAGCCTAGAAGAGTATGGCCTCAATTAGCACCCAAGGAGTTGAGCACATAGACTCATAAACCCACCATGTCACCTCTACCCAACCCTCTACGGACACCTTGGCAATTGAATCGCCATTGGCTAGTACATTTTTTAGTTTACTCGCCAGACTGCTATATATATATATATATAACGTTACGTGCGCGTTACGTGCGCTGCGCATCCATTTAGATCAACTAAAAAACAGCACAGCGCTTCAGAGTTTCACTCTCCGTCAAGCGATCTCAGTCAGTGTGTTCGGCGAGTGAAAATATATCTGTGCTAAACTTATACTTGGCCTCTAACTCACACACTAGCGAGTAAAATCTGAGAATTTATTAGCCATTGGCTAATATTAGACATAATTTAGTCGCCCAGAGTGAAGATTTAGTCACATATGCGAGTGATTTACTCGCAATGTAGAGGGTTGCCTCTACCGGAGTCACAGTAAACTTCAGTTTCTTTAATTCAAATAACGTTTATTCTCTGTAGAGCTCAAAGTTAAATGTAGTGTTTCCAGTTTGGTGTAATTACTTAGTGGTTCAGACGTTGGAAAACAGAAGGATTTTTGTTTAGGTGGACATGGCCCAGTTTGTGGTGTCAGTGTCCGATTTTTTCCATTTTCCATGCTTTAGATGACACGTGTCTTCCTTCCTTTCTTTCTTTTTTTTTTTTTTTTGCCAGGAATGGAGCGGGAGAGGAAGGTCAGTATGAGATTGCACCGTGGAGCCCCTGTCAACATTTCCTCCTCCGATCTAACTGGCCGACAGGACACCTCACGCATGTCCACATCACAGGTACCAAATTTATAAGATGAAATACTTTTTTTATAAGATGAAATTCCCACTGGTGCCTGTGTGTTTGGCAGCATTGACAGTCTCGGCCCCAGCTCCACTGCTCCCAAATGACCCTTTTTTATTTCCAGTCCACAAAAGTGATCACTTTGGTTAGAAAACCTTTATAAACAAACTCCTCCACAATTGCTTTCCAGCAGAGAGACAAAGGAAAAGATGGTAGAGAGTAGGGGTGGGTGATATAGCCTCAAAATTATATCACGATATTTCAAGAATATTTGCGATAACGATATTTATGGCGATATAGAAAAAAATATGAAACAACGTTTTATTGGTGATTACTGCTGGTAGGCAGCAGCATTTATTAGTGCAAACAAAATGAAGGGCCTTCCTTCCTTTCTTTTTTTTTTTTTTTTTTGCCAGGAATGGAGCGGGAGAGGAAGGTCAGTATGAGATTGCACCGTGGAGCCCCTGTCAACATTTCCTCCTCCGATCTAACTGGCCGACAGGACACCTCACGCATGTCCACATCACAGGTACCAAATTTATAAGATGAAATACTTTTTTTATAAGATGAAATTCCCACTGGTGCCTGTGTGTTTGGCAGCATTGACAGTCTCGGCCCCAGCTCCACTGCTCCCAAATGACCCTTTTTTATTTCCAGTCCACAAAAGTGATCACTTTGGTTAGAAAACCTTTATAAACAAACTCCTCCACAATTGCTTTCCAGCAGAGAGACAAAGGAAAAGATGGTAGAGAGTAGGGGTGGGTGATATAGCCTCAAAATTATATCACGATATTTCAAGAATATTTGCGATAACGATATTTATGGCGATATAGAAAAAAATATGAAACAACGTTTTATTGGTGATTACTGCTGGTAGGCAGCAGCATTTATTAGTGCAAACAAAATGAAGGGCCTTTTCCAATGAGCTACTGTCATCGATGACAGACTACCTAATTCGAAGTGTAAATCTATTGTCATAAGGTGGCAGCAGCAGCTGTGTGTTTGACTTGAAGCAGACCAATCGGTGTATGACGTCAAAATACTGCGTTGCACCTTATTTACACTGCACGCGTCTGCGGCACGTTACGGCTCCGACGCGGCCACCGGAGCTGATCACGGCCACCCTAATCAATTGCTTGTGTTTACACCAGCCGCGCTGCGGCACGTATCAGAAGCGGCTCTCCGCTTTGCTAAAGGCGCCTCGCCTATTTTTGACGGTAAGAGTGTGCGCTCGAATATGCTCTACTGTAGAACCGCTCTCGCGATACTTTGATGTCATACACCGATCAGATTAGGCTTGTTTGAGATGTGCCTCGCTTCACCTGAAATGAAGGCGAGAGTAGGCGACTGCAGTGAGGGGAGGAGTGAAATAAGCGCAGTCAAGACAGACAGTTCTGACCTCTCGAAGTGGAACAGATACCTACGAGATCAAAGGTGGATATCGCGTTATTCTCACTCACGTGCTGTGCTGATGATAAACATGATATAATTTCAGTTCTGTTGCTTTATATGAAAATAAATATGAGGAAAATCATGCTTTTGATCAGCGCAGTCAGTGGAGAGCAACTGCGCCTGACTGCGCAATCCGACACAGCCGCTTCGCCGTCACTAGATTTTTTTGGCACACGTCAGCATGGCATCAGAGCAAGTCGGACGTAACTCGGACACTTTTCTAACTGGCATGCATCTCGCGGTGATCACCGGTGATCGGTTCTGCGCAGATTTTGCTCATTTCAAACAAGCCTAGTGATATCGATCATCTTCTGTGGAGGCGGTGCTTATCCACACTATTACATCATAGAGTCGAACATTCCACGAACTGTGGTTTTGGCAGATCGGCTTCAACATAAGCTGTTTTCAGACTAGTCGAGTCACCTTTATACCTTATACTACCAAGAAAGTTTTAAGTTCGGAAAGTTACAGGATGTTTTTATAGTGCAATGACCTCTTACAGTCAGGTCCATATATATTTGGACACGGCACAATTTTTATTATTTTAGCTGCTGACCAAAACATATTCAAGTTACATTTATATCATATGAATATGGGCTTAAAGTACACCCTGTGAGCAAACACAGAGGCTTCACCACAAGCTGCAAACAAGGCCAGATTAGACTTCGCCAAAAAAACATCTAAAAAAAGCCAGAGCACTTCTGGAAAAGCATTCTTTGGACGGCAGAAATAAAGATCAAGCTGTACCAGAACGC